GGGCAAAAATGAGGGCTATGGAAGCAATAGATGATAATCATAGCCAGACATTTGAGTTACCACCAGCCTATGTTAGATAAGTTTTGAAAAGTAACCATGTTTCTGTTGCACTTATTGATTACTTTAAGCCTTCAGTGAGTGTTAATCCCATTTTCAAGAGATTTTTCATTTCATGTGGTGCCATGAAGAAAGGGTTCAGAGAAGGTTGTAGAACTTTCATTGGTGTTGATGGTTGTCACCTCAAAGGGCCATATAGTGGGCTTCTTGTAGCTGCAGTAGCATTGGATGGGAATAAAAGATTATTCCCGGTGGCATATAGAATCGTTGAAAGTGAGAGAACGAAGAGCTGGGGGTGGTTTCTAAACAATCTACATGTAGTTATTGGTGCTGGGGACAGGTCCCAACCATGGACCTTTTTGTCTGACAATCAGAAGGTATTATGTTTCTGTTTCTTATTATTCTGTTTAAGTTTATGTTTCTATTTCTTATTATTCTGTTTATGTTTATGTTTCTTATTATTCTATTTCTGTTTCTATTTCTTATTATTTTGTTTCTTATTTGTTAATAATTCTTATTATTCTATTTCTATTTTTTGTTATGAACTTAGGGACTTTGATAAAGTGTTTGAGAAGATTTTCCCAGAAGTTAAGCATAAGAGATGTTGTGTGCATCTCTTCAATAATTTCAAGTCCAAGTTCCCTAGATTATTACTTAAAAAAACTTTTTGGAGGGCTGCTAGGGCCTATAATGTGGTAGGGTTTAGGGACAACATGAAGTTAATGAAGTTACATAACTCTAATGCTTATAATTGACTTATGAAAGTCCCTGTACATACATGGGCTAGACACATATTTGATGAATCTGTGAAAAGTGACCACATAACCAATAGCCAATTACATGCGTGAATCATTTAACAATTGGATTGGACTGCATAGGCATAAACCAATACTCACCCTTTTGGAAGGAATTAGATGCAAGTTAATGGTGAGATTTCAAAAAAGGTACTGCAAAGGATGTGCATGGGAGGGGTTAGTCAACAAAAACACTAAGATACAATTGAAAAAAATGGTTCAGGATGGTATGAAGTGTCTTTTATTATTTGCTGGGAACTTGGAAATTGATATAAGTCATGAGGGAACACGATATCTATTCAATTTGGCAACTGGGATGTGCTCTTGTAGACAATGGTAGATATCTGGGATTCCTTGCATTCATGCAGCAACTGTAATAAAATCCCAAAGAGAAAATATTGAGAAATATTGTCATAGAAGTTACACCAAAGATACTTATTTGCTTGTTCATGGAGATATGATCCATCCAATTGTCGACCAAAAGATGTGGGATCCAGTGGCAAAACTTCTACAACCTCCACCCTTGCATAGGCTACCTGGAAGGCCTAGGACCAATAGAAGGAGAGGTGTAGATGAGCCAGTAGCTGGTACATGTGACACGAGGAGGTCCCAAACAATAAGGTGCCAAATTTGCTTACAACTTGGGCATAACAAAAGAACATGTCAAAGAGCACCAGTTAAAGCGAAGGGTAAGAATGGTGGTGTCACCAATAGCAGTCAGGTAAATAACATTCTACCCATTTCATTGGAATACAATTGATGTATTTTCTAATTGTCTTCTAATATGTAGTGCAATGAAGGACCAACAACATCACAAACAGCTGGATCACAAAGTCATTCTACTGCCTCACAAGCAACTTCCCAAGTAAACACAGTTGAAAATACGACTGCAATGGAGGGAGGGGTAAGTCAGCTGGAGTTCAGAGTCTTGGAGGAGTGTAGACGTGCATATGTTATTTTTTGTGGGACAAGTATTTTTTGTCTGGGAAGGGTTAGAGGGCACATGTTATTTTTTGTGGGACAAATATTTTTTGCTGCAACACCATGTAATACCTTTGGTCACTGCCCAATTCTATATGAAATATTACACCATTTTATCATTTGAGTTGAACATGAAATACATAGATACATGTGTACAGGGAGGCTAATCCCTGTTATGAGGAAAATTTTTGCTTTTTTCTCTACTCAGTTGTAACAGATTTTTTTCTGTTTTGCTTATAATAGAAAATCAGAAACTGTTTTTTTTAACAGGAAAACAGGAATTGATTTTCCTGTTTTCATCCACCTGAGTACATGGATACATGTGTTTAGAGAGGCTAATATGATAGCAGATTTTCTGGCCTATTTTGCTATTAAAGTTGAGAGTTCTACTGATTTTTCAGCAAATGATCCAGAAATGTTGAAAATTGATAAAATGATTCTACATCAGGTTTTTCTAGCTGGTCCAGAAATGCAACATTTATACATGAGAGACTTTTCACATTTCTTTTTTGGTTTTGTAACAAAATTCTTGTAATTTTGAGATTTAATCAATAAAATTTTTCTTTTTTCTTAAAAAAAAGAATTCCTGTTTTGATTCTTGTAATTTGTTGATTTTTTTAATAAAATGTCTTGGTTTTAAAAACATCCCAAACCTTTGTATCAAAGCATTGTAGATGAACTATATAGTGAAACCATAGGAAAATAATGGAGAAGGAGAGAGAAAGAGAGAGGGGGGGGTACTTACACAAGTTTAAATTTTTTCACTCAGTGGGTCTGAAGGATATAATAGTCTTTCTATTATATATTTTTGGGAAAATTTTAATATTAATCTTACTATTAAGGGCTAATTTGGGAATTACAAGGATTTTTTATGGTGATGTCACTCTTTTTCGTCTTAATTATTGATGGCCATGGAACGAAGGGGTTGTCCGTGTAACGAGTTTCAAATGTGAGGGGGGTGTCACTGTAATTAATAAAATGTGAGGGGGTGTCCGTGTCATTAAGACAAAACTCAGGGGGTTTGAATGATTTTTACCCTATTAAATATTACATATGTGTTATTTCATATTAACTGTTCAATAGTATAATCCATAGAAATTATAAATATACATAGATTATCATGATTAAGTACACTTTTTTTATAAAATAAATCCGCACAGGTGTTTGTCTCTCTCATCTCTTGTTTGACCCATATTTTTTATCTTTTATATATTTTTCATGAAAATTGTGGTATTACATGATTGACTATTAGTATATATTCATAATTTTTTGTTATCTTGTTGTTGAATTATTTTACTTTTTTTATGATTCTTAACTTGTTTATGTGTGCAACGTTCACTATAATTTTGTTGTTTTTTATTTTCTCTGTTAACAACTTTATTAAAAGTTATTTTTTTTTTATCTGTGGATATTATGTAGTTTTTATTGTGGATCCATTCGTCGCATCTGAGTTGAAACGTTACACCCCAAGAGCACGGTAAGCTCGGTGAAAGAATTTGCACATTTAAAGTGATGAAATACATTATTCCAATATGAATATTAGTTTAACCCTGTAAAAGTGAAACCACCAAATAAACACCCTCACTTGAGTAACTAACATAAACATGTCATCGCCAACAAGGTCTTCTTTGCCATAAAACTGTATTCCATCGCATAAATAATATCCGTCGTACAAGTGTAATTTGTCATTCGAACAATATTAGACCCACAAGCATATTTCGTCACACAAATAATAATCCCCATGCAAGCATAATCCGTCACATAGATCATACTCGCTACATAGGCAAGATTCAGAACACAAATAATAATCGTCATACAGGCATAATTTGTCACGCAAATAATTTTTTTCCCTTTTTTTCAACACTTGTTTACATAATAATATTATGATAACAAGTAAGCTTACTATACAAACTATAGATATGTGTGATAGCGCACTCATCTTGGATTAGCTTCTACCTCAGGCGCAGTCTCCCGTCGTGGATTTGAGTGGAGTGGTTGATGATATAGATGCCTCAACTCCTAACACATGACGGTCACAAATACATTTTATTATAACTTCTATAACCATAATATGTCAAGTGTTTCTAAACGGATGTTCCCCTATACTTGACTTAATACAATATTAATCCTTTCACTTATCATGTTATGTCTAAGTTTATCACCTTATTGTGCGCAAGTTAACCCGTTTAGAATTGTCTTATAGCCCAATAGGATGCTTTGGAGTGCTTAATGAGTGAACAAATGAGAGATTAAGAAGTTTTGGCAAAACGGGAATTTAGCCCTATTGTATCGATACAACTATAGTTTGTATTGGTTCACCCCAACCCAGAATATCCTTGTACCGGTACAACTATGTGTTGTACCGGTTCTTTCCTTAACCGAGACTATGAAACTTTGACTAAAATACATCTCATCCCCCTTTCTTCCATAATCAACCACTTAAAACATTTTAACCATTTTCACCCCAACCAATTATGACTCAAAACGCTAGATGAAGAGGCTACCCAAGTGAGGCCTCCCTTCAGAATTCTGTCGAAGTCATTGAGTCGCCCAAACGGTATTCTTGAACTTCAATTCTACCCCAAACTACCCATCATCTTCAAATTTCTTATGTTTAGCTAACACCCATGAAGATCATGAAGAGTAGAAGAGATTAGAGAAGATGATATTTACCTTAGTGAAGTCAAACTCCCTCACCAAAGCCAAAACTCTTCACCGGTTTGGAGCATTCCTTCACTTCTCCTCCAACTCCTCCTCAAGATGGTTGAATGCAAGAAAGAAGACTCCCCACCCCCAATAGCCTCCACCGGTTTTTCTTTCTCAATTGGGAAGACTTGGCCATGATAAGTGCATGTCTTGCATGCTTCCACTATACACTAATTATACTAGCCCCTATCTAGTTTCCCCTAAACCACAATTCCTTATTTAAACTTACATTATCTAACCAATCGAACCCTATATTTTAATAAACTCCTAATCCAAAAAAAAAAAGTAATCGAAGTTCATAGTTTACACTCTTTGCGTTTCCAAAAATTCTTAATTTTGTCTCACGACTAACTTCAATCTTTTCATTTAGATACATGTTACTATATAAAATGTTCTGTATGCATATTCGGGTCTCACATTTAAACTTCAATTTTTCTCCGTATAAAGGAAACCCTCTCTCTCATGGCGAGGAAGAGCAAGGGTCGCCAAAAGATTGAGATGATTCGAATGTCAAAAGAAAGCAACCTACTTGTCATCATTCTCAAAGAATCATTCTGGTCTCTTGCAATTGAGCTTTTACACCCTCTGGTGAAAAAATTGCCATTATCGTCTTCTCTTTTGGTAACCCTCATGTTCAATCCATCGTTGATTGGTTTTTGACACGAAACCCACCCCGAGTTTACGCAATCTGCAACTCATGGTGATTAACGAGTTGGAATGAGAGAAGAAGCAAGGCAAAGAGCTAGACAAATTGAGGAAGGAAAGCCAAGAGAGGTGGTATGGTGGGAGGGTCCTATTGTTAAGCTTGGGGTACAAGAACTTCAGCAGTTGAAGGTGGCGATGGCGGAGCTGAAAAAGAACGTTGCCAAGCAGCAGGCGCACATTCATGGCTTCTACTCCATTTTAAAAAAGAAGTGTGTGGATGCCCACAACGAAGGAGATATGTAAAGGGCTACAATGAGGTTGGTGTTGGTTGTTCCATTATTATTTTCAATTGAGTATGTCATACTGACTTTAGAAGAGACGATAATGACTTACTCTAAATTTTGCTTAAGGTGAAAAATATGTAACCATCCGAATAAACTCTAGTTAAAAGTTTGTAATATTGGTAGGGCTAATAATCAAGCCAAACTATTTAGTTTCAGCTCGGATTTGACTAGTATAAATAAGTCGAGTTCAAACAATTTTTTAATGTTCAGTTCAAGTTCGTTAAACTTTACTTTTTTATATATAAAATAATCTAACTATTCGAATTTGGCTCGTTTTGAATATCTAATTTTTCAAATGATTAAAAAGCCTTTATTTGTTATAGAGGACTTACCTTTTTTGGATGATATATGGCTTAAATTGCATAAATGAAATGTTGTATATCTTTTCTGTCACTATCAACCTTCCTATTTTTTCCCATCCCAATCTTGCAATTTCTCATTACCAATGGTGTCGATTACATTCCCTATACAATTCTAAATTTCCAAAAATTTAAAGACTCGTAATGATTGCCAAATCTTTACTAAATTGGTAAATATATGGGATTCAATCCTATGCATTATAGTCACAACTCACTACTTTCCAAGCCCTCGAGTCTTAAACTTATCCACATGAAATAGTTTGTATCTATCCATTGGCAAATTAAGGTTGTTAAAGAAAAAAGGTTTTTGTTTTTTGGGGGGCTTAATGAGCCTCAAGTTTTGATAGACAAAATTTCTTTCTTTTGTCTCGGGTCTCAATTTTGTATCAATCGTATCATATAAAGTTCATGTCATACATTAATCGTGTATAATTAATTTTAAATTATCTACCCCTTAAACACCCTCTAACTCCTCATCGCTGGTGGCCATATAGAACCATGCTCGAATTGGTTTGACTATCGTTTTAAGTTATGGATTTATTGATATAAACCATAAAATGTGAAATTATTAGTTGACTTTTGACTTGCGCAAGTAAAGTAGCTTTTTTATAATGCCAACTAATAGAAAATTAATTTCATAATAACCAAACATTAAGAGGACAAATATTTTTTTAACTCCCAAATCAATGAATAATTGCCCACAAAAATAGAAAATTCTAATTAAAACCCCAAAACACAATTACTTCTGGCCAACTTTCACAATTAATCTCCAACCCCTTTAAATACCCATGTTTCTCCTGTAAACTTCTTTGTCCAATACCTTCATTCCCAAGCATCTTTGTCCTAAAGCTTCATTCTCAAGCATCTGGCAGTGTTTTCCCTTGTAGGAAGTTCTCTCTTATAAGTCTTAAGACATGGCAAAGAAGCCAAGCATGGGGCGCCAAAAGATTAAAATTGCAAAGATAGAGATCAAAAATCACTTACAAGTCACCTTCTCGAAACGCCGGTCAGGGCTTTTCAAGAAGGCAAGTGAGCTTTGTACCCTTTGTGGTGTTGAGATTGCAATAATAGTCTTCTCCCCAGCCGGAAAAGTCTTCTCTTTCGGCCACCCTGGTGTCGATTCTATCGTCGATAGGTTCATGATCACACGGAATCCTCCTCTCACACCCTCCCAGACCCTCCATCTTGTTGAGGCTCATCGGAATGCTAGTGTCCGGGAACTAAACTTGCAACTCACACAAGTTCTTAATGAACTTGAAGCTGAGAAAACCCGAGGCGACGTACTTGACAATATGAGAAAAGCTAGCAGGAGCCAACACTGGTGGGAAGCCCCCATAGATGAGCTTGGTTTGAATGAGGTTGAACAACTGAGAGACTCCATGGAGGAGCTGAAGAAGATTGTAACCAGTCAAACTCGTAAGCTTATGGCTGAGGCAGCTCATACACCACCATTTTTTGATCAATTCGAGTGCAAACCAGGTCAGGTCCATGTTCCTTCGACAGCTTCTGAGGATCATAGTTTTGGATATGGCCATGGATTTTTCTGAAGCTGTTTTTTTGTCCCGGTTTGATTGCAGTAAAAAGCTAGCACCTCACTAGCTTTTATTTTTTGAATTTTTTGCATTTTGTACCCCGAAAAATTTAAGATTCTCACTTTATACTCTCATATCAGATTAAAATTTTCACATTGCACCATTCATGTATTGAAAGTGTTGCAATATGATATTTTGTTAGCTTCTATTATTTTTTTTCATCAGAAATCAACCCATTAACACCAACAGAAAAACAAACAGAAAAGTAATATTGTAACACTTTCGATACATTGAGAGTGCATTATAAAAAATTTAATCTTTAAAGGTGAAAAGTGAGAATTTTAAAATCTTTTAAGGTACAAAGTATAATTTGTCTTTTAATTTTTTTTGGTCAAACACTATTATAAAGAGCGGAATGTCAAGATTCAACAAATGCTAATCTCAACCTTCAATTTACCTGAGGTTTCATTGCAGTGCATTAGTGGACACATTTATGTTCTGTATCAGTTACAACTAAGCTACCGTTTGGATGATGTTTTCTACCTAGAGGTAGCACTTTCTGTATTGTGAATGACTTGGGACCAGACAAATCGAATTCTTATAAATCTGATTCTCTGAAATTGGGTCAAAAGACAATGAATTTCGTTTCTTCTTCACCTCCCGATTCCTCTGCTATTGCTCCATCTCCTCGACAATCAAAAAACTAAGGCATACTCAACACCAAGGCAAGGGGATTTGAACCCACTTTTGGAAAAAGGAAGTATAAAACTAATACCCTAAACCCTAGCATCCATTGGAAGTGTAATGTAACAAAGGTGAGAGTTGAGGAAACAATATGAAACAGAGAACCATATTTGCAGGTGCAACGTCATAAACATGATACTCAAGTGGGTAATGTGAGACAGAGGTATAGTTGTGCACGGCAAAGTATAATTCACCCCAATAATAAAATAAAGTAAAAATACTGACGTTAAAAAAAGCAAGAAACAGATTATACAGAAAACCTTTAATATTATTAACTTGCCTACATTTTGCCTGCAACGTTGAAACATGTACTATAAAGAGTTCACACCATTCATAACCAAGAAAATAGAAAACAAACCCAAGAACCGAGCAATTGTCTTTTCTGTAGTATTATTCTGCGGCTGCAGCATCTTCCATCTTGCTTCCTTCAGTTCTTATCTCTGGCAGTGTTTCCAGATCTGTTCGAACCAGTGTCTCCTCCAAGGGTAGTGAAGAATCAGAGGAATCAATGGGGTCATTGTGAACTTCTGCATTCTCAGTTTGTGAGGAGCCCGAATTTTCGTCTGTTTTATTCATTTCAATAACCGTGTCTGACTTCTCATCGTGGGTTGCGTCAGTAAGTTCCTCTGTTCTTGAAAACTCAGAGCTGTGCTCTACTGCCACTGATGTATTAGACCTTACCACGTTTTCTGATACAACAAACACTGGTTTAGTGAAGGAATTTGAGGACTCCCTCGGTTTTGCCTCTGCAGCCTCAGGTTTTGCGAAAATTGTCACCTTAGAATCAGATTCATGATTATCAGTAGTAATGGTGTTGGCCTGTTCCAGAGCAATGGTGCGCAAGTTGGAACCTTTCCCATATGTTGTACCCCCTACCGTCAAATTCTGAACTTCAGTAAAATCTGATATGGTCTTTGTTCCATTCTGTAAGGTCAAGTCAAGAGTTTCTGTACTCGCTTCTGTTGAGCTATTGCTTAGTTGCGATTGATCATTGGCCTCTGTTTTTTGTTTAGTATTCAACAATGAGACATCTTCAGGTTTAGGAGACACAACCCCAGAACTTTTTTCTTCATCAGCTGTTCTATGTAAAGGACTGCCATTTTCAGCAATTTCACCGTCTCCCATCTTTAAGCTGGTTTTGATTTGGCCAACATCGACTTCCTCAGTGTTGTTGACTTTATTTTCCTGTTCCAATGTATTCATTCCACTGTGCTCATCTGAGTGTTCCAAGCTTCCGGTCCCATTTTCAGTCCTAACAATTTGGGTATCATGGGCCACTGCACTAGAAGCATCATCTGCCTTGTAATGCTCCTCTCGTGCTTCATGCGTATTCCCAGCTCCTTCATGATCATGGTCCTCCAAAGAACTATCATCCTCCATTTGGCCATCTTTATCATCATCATCTTTCTCTTCACTTTCTTTCCCATCACCCTCTTTTCTCTCCTCCTCGTCATCTATGAAATCCTCCTCATGATCAATCTCTGCATTAGATTTCTCTTGGTCTTCTTCATCAATTTCATCTTCTCCACCCCCTCTCTCTGCATCCTCTTTCTCTTCTGTTCTGTTGCCTTCTTCTTGCTCATCTTCATCAGACTTGTTCTCTTCTTCCTCTCCAGCAGCCTCTCCTTCTTCTGCTGCTTCTTCACGCTGTTCATTACTAGTTTCTGTTTCCTCCACCCGGGGGTAGAGATCTTTCCTTCCAAATCTTAGGATTTCATTGCCACTTCCTGCGTTTAGTAAGTCCATTGCATCTTTTTTATCGAATTCTTTTCTTTTATCATGGGAGTGTTTGACTTGGTAAATCAACCAGAAGCAAACAGCAAGCAATAAACAAATTTGCAGAACATGTTTGCCCTTGATTCCTTTCGATCTTGGGTTTCTACTAGGCGATTGCCTGAGCATGATGATTTTTGCAAAAGGTTCCACTTCTGTCTTCTATTACCAGAAGTGATAAAACCTGCCTTGAAACCAAGACATCCATCAAAACTCAATAAGAGTTACAGGCTCAAACGAATCAAATCATAAGTCTAAAACAAAGCAAACATGCTTATATGTTTCTCTTTCATTAAGTTAATTGCACCTCTGATATGGTACCTGTTTAAGCCATTATATCAAACGAGCAGCACAATCAAACACCAAATTTGAAACAAGCCCATTATTGTCCTAGAACTTAAAAGAATTTCTCTGTCGCACCCAAACTTGAATCCAAATTTTTCACAAGGAAAGAAACTGGAACAAAGATTGAAAATAAGCGAAATCTTAAAATTTCAACCAATAAATACTTTTATTATATAGGTTTGTCATCAAGTTGAATGTTTAAAAAACCTACTGCTCAATTTACACAAAACTTGAATTCAATCTACATTCAACCAGAAGTCTGAAGCTAAGAACTCAGGCCTTAAAGTGTAAACTACAATTGTTTGAGAACCTGACCAATTCCTAATGAGAGAAACTAATAAAACAATTAGCACCAAAATTACTATGATGCTTTAGTTGGTCTGACTCTGTGGAGTGTGGACAAACGGCTAACATGGTGTATTCCAGATTTCCACTCTTTCTTAGCAGCCAAGGACAACAAGTCAAAATAGTTAATCTTCAATCATTTTAGAGAAGTAAAATAAAATGAAGGAGAAGTAAACACTTGCACCTAAACTCATGCAAACACAACAATGACCAAACATCTAGCACTTGCTCCCTTAACTAATGCAAACCCAACATTGATCAAACATTTTGCGACAAACCCCCACTGCAACCAAAAGAATACATTGGGGAAGGAAATAAATCCAGGCTCAACAACTTTAAAGTTGGGGGTTCAACTATTGGAGCATCAACTTTATATACATTAATAACAATGCCAAAGATTAGGTCTCTAACTGATCTATTCCTCACAGACCCCGTAAATGAGACTAAACTACGCTGTACTATTAGACGTTAAATTTGACAAGATGGCAAGGGATCTAAGATTTCCACCGATTACCTCTCCCAACGTTTCCTATAGCTGAGAGTCTTGTGCCCCATGTTTTGCTTTTCTATGGAGGGGAAAAGTTCCAAATAGAGGAAAGTTCCTAGAGAAAAGAATAGAAACCCCTCTAATTCTTTCACCAAAAGTAGATAGTTGAGTGAATGATTGTGAGTAAGAAGCAGCGAAGCAGCAGAACAAGAGGTGAAATCACTCTAGACCAAAGCAGAGATTTTTTCAAACTGATCGAACCTCCAGCACAACTTAGTCACAATCATAGTCCACCAACAAATCACAAATTCAAACCATCTCCAATAAAAGACTCCATCTTTCCCCCAATTTTTTTTTAAAAAGCCATCATAAAAAACTTGCAAGAAACTTCAAAAGCAAAAGTTGAAATTTATGAATCCAGGAAAACCCTAATGATAAACATTAAAACCCACAAACAAACAAACCCTAGAATCCCTCAAGCATGTATGCCCACTTAGTAAAATCAAAACTTTGACACCCCCCCCCTAAAAAAAAAACAAAAAAAAAAGGAAAAGAAAAATAAAAACCCAAAAGAAACAAAAACCAAATTCAAATCTTTACCAAGTAGCAACCCAATACCCATCTCCAATTACAGTTGATTAACATAAATAAATCAATTTACAAACTCAAATACTCCATCACATCAGTAAATCGTCACATATTTCGTCATTTCTCTACTCATAAATCACAGAAAAAAATGAGTAAGCATATATAAGTGTGAAGAACAGTAGTGACTAAATTACAGAATAAAAAATTGAAGATGCTAAAAGAGAAACATACTAACGAAAGAGCTTACCTTGAGAAACTGAAATGAGTAATAGCCACAAAAAATCTGAAAGCTAAAGACGAAGTAGAAGAGTCTTTTTGGTTTTCAACCTCTAATACTCGGAAATCATAGTGCATCCATCTACCGTATAGTTTGAGATATCCTGTGGGACTGCTTTGAGTTTATTTGACATCTCTCTCTCTCTCTCTCGATTGTGGATCCGAAGACAAGGACTGCCGAGTTGCGATTTTACTGTTCACGGTACTTGAACATCGCTTAAAGGGCTGGGTTGGTCGAGTGTGTTAATGAGTTGCACTCTTGAGTCCTGACTTGTGGATTGTGATCTACCTTTTAGGTTTTTTAGAAAAATTACACTTAGAACTTTGAGATTTGTCACTTATTTCTCATACTCTTTAATATTTAAATTATTACACACAAACTTTTTAAAGTTTATGCTTACATAACATTTAGACCTTTATATATTTGTTAGTAAATTACACGTAGACCCTTTAAATTAATAGTTAGACCCCTCAAATTTAAAATATTATATAATCTAATTAAAGATAAAATATCAAGTATTTTAAATTTATAATTAAAATTCATGTATAACATTTATTGAAATAAAAACAAAAATAAAAATCTAATTTTTCTTAAAAAATCGTAATTAGTATACAATTATATTACCTATTAGAATTTTATTTGGTCGTTTAAACGACTAAATTAAACTATCAAATTACCCTAATTAAAGTTAGAACATATTGTGTCAATTACGGTTTGACCTTATTTGATTTTTTAGTTTTATTCTAATAAATAGTATAATTGTATACTAATTATAATTTTTTTTTTAAATAAAATTTTATTTTAAATTTTAACAATAAATGATATAATAGAACATGAATTTTGGTTGTAAAATTATGTCTTATTCTAAAAGACTTAGACCCCTTATTTAATTTTTTAGTTTTATTTCAATAGATAGTATTATTGTATACCGACGATTTTTTAAGAAAAAAATTATATTTTTATTTTTGATTTTATTTCAATAAATGATACAATAGAACAAGAATTTTAGTTGTAAAATTTAAAATATTTGATATTCTATATGTGATTAGAGTATTTTTTGTTTAATTATAATATTTTAAACTTATAGGATCTAAGTATTATATGTCTACATACTTTAGAAGGTCTAGATATAATTTATTAACGAATATATTTTAAGGGGTCTATGTGTAATATTTTAAATATCAAAGAATCTAAGTGATTAAGTAACAAACTTTAGGGATTTGAGTGTAGTTGTCCCTTATTTATTTTTTTTTAATTGCAATTTCAGATGTCTGAGTCAATTTACGAATATTTTGACTAATTTTTTCAAAATTTCAGTAAAAAATAAGTCATCGACGCTGAAATTAGAGAATTTATGAAATATTTACCTCTCATAATCTGTCCCAAAAGGAAGCTATCAAGTTTTAAATTCAGACTGATTGAGTTTACTGGTATTCTATCGACCCATTATTCTATTTTGATAAAACAAATTGTTAAATTTATTTTATTTTTTTATTTTTGTTTTTTAGCAACATAAAAATATTTTCAATACATAGTTTTTTTTTCCTAAATAACCGCCCTAGTGTGTTTCCTCTTGGAGGATAAAAATTCAATGTATCGTTGACACCATGTGATCATTATTATTATAAATTTTATTCCTTTACACGGAATAATTATTATGTTATATAAACGGACTAGTTATTATTCGTGTCTGAAGGCATGAAGTAATAAAAAAATAGTTAACAAAAAATATATTTATATTCACACTTAAAATCAAATTACAAAGATAGATGACAAATAAATGAATTTAAAGATTAGTTATAGTGGGCGCGCGTGTGGTGGTAGGCGGTAGTGGTGGTGATGAGAGACAATAACAGTTGTGATGGATGATGACAATCAGTTGTAATAATAGTAACTATAGGTGATAATGATGATGGTGATTGGGGGTAGTGGGGGGTAATGGTGGAATAGTGATGGTGGTGATGGTGGGGCACTAATAAGGAGGTGGTGGGTGGGGTTATGATAATAGAGGTGGTGGGGCGGTGGTTGTTGTGGAAGAGGTGATGGAGGGGTGGCAGTAGTGGTGACAGTGACGATGGTAGTGGGGCGATGGGTGTGGTAAAGTGGCGACAGTGGTGGTGGGATAGCGGTGGTGGTATTGGTGATTGTGGTGGGGCTGGTGGTGGTAGAGGTGTTGGTGGGGCGGTTTTCAAACACTTTTTTTTTAAAGTACTTATGAGAATTTATAAATGTTAAAAATACTTTTAAAAAGTCACTTCAAACATACCATTAAATCGTATTTTTTATATTAAATTTAGAGTGTTAAGATTAGCCGTCAGATTAACTTTAAAATAAAACTTAAAGAGATATCAACCGCGAATAGCAAAAATTATTTTGTTTATCTTTTAAGATTTGAGTTGTATTGTATTTTATTATATAGATAGTTAGAGAATTGTGTGAGATTCACTTGTTTAATTATTATTTTTTATTATATGATGTAACCATGTAATAATGATGGCATGATATTCATTACATTGAATATTTTCTCTTTGTGGACCTCTGTTATCTTTTGAATATTTAGGTGTTAAAAAATGGTACAAATTATTGACTCTCAAATGTATGTACAAGTAATATTTCAATAATAACATAGAAAGCTCCTTAAGTCAATCAAATCCTATTTGCTATCTTAAGGTAATAATCAAATTCATGTTAAAACTATTAATTTTACTCATTATTAGATAATTGGCAAAATTAAAGTATCTCCAAATTTAGCTTGAATTGCACCGGAGGCCCTAAAGTATGGTGTTTATCTGATTTTTATTCCCAATATTTTAGTTGCATCGTTTTAATCCCTAAAATATTGAATTTATTTCTTTGTAATCCCTTAAGTAGGCAACATCAAAATTGTTAACGATTTTTTATTATAAATTTATCACGTGATACCTAAATATGAGTAAAAAATAATTTTGATAGCTTTTGACCAAATTTTGGATAGTTTTGACAAAAAAATGTATAATATGTAGGGATGTCAGTGGACCGAAGTAGGGGCAGGGAGTGTAGTCTTCATCTCCGTACCCGCTTAAAAAAACTCCGTCTATCCCCAATCTATCCCCGTTAATGGGTATGGTTTTTATCTCTATCCCCCTCCGAAGGTAAATTTCTAATCCCTGTCCCCGTCCCTACTTCTCCCGTACCCACCTAAGCCCAAGCCCAAGCCCAAACCCAAACTCAAGCCCAAGTAGTATAATTCAAAATTTTAAATAAATCCAATATTTTAAATAATCTAACAATATTCTAAATAATCTAACATAATTTAACACAACATAACGTAGATAGCAAAATATAAAAGCCAAAACAATATAGTATTTTATTTAAAGTGTCATTGGACCACAAAAAGAGTAATGAAACTATTAGAGAGAAAAGAAGAAAAAAAAATAAAATTGAATTAAAAAAACGATAGCACTACACTTGAAGTTTCTTAGAAGAATATTTGTTATTATAATTCATATTACAGCCATAAAGTGTTAAAAGATGTAAGCATAAAATTTCTCTAATTCAATAATTCTCCGCATTCTTAGTACACTCTAGTAGAGAAACTCATTGTTGTTTGAAGTGTTCAAAAAATTGTAAAATCACTTATTGATATTTCTGATATCATGTAACTTAAAATAAAACAAACAGTAAATGTGAACAGTAGAACCATAACACAAATCAAAACAGTTATAGTAAACACGAAAGAGTTACAATAAACAGATACACGTAACTCTATGTCAAATTAATGTAAAAACTAACTCGATTGCAGAACAGGAACTGTTATTGAATTCGTAATAGATCAAGACTAGTGTTTGACATTATGTCCTTAAGACAGATTTCGCCCCCACACACGGTGCTTATGGAATCCGAGCACCTGCCTCCCAGGATATAATGATCTTCGACGAACAAAAGTAGCACTTCAATTTGTTCGTACAACGAACCAGAACTTGTGTTGTGTACTTTCCAAATATACTGCCTTAAAATGCCGAAATGTAATACACTTAATGCCGAAAACAGTTTGGTTATTTGAATGAATAAAACAAATGCATGACCTGAGTATTTATAGATGCATTGGTGACTTTTCGGACAGTCACCTTACTAACCCATAAACTAAAATCGACCCAGCCAGTAGACACCTTGAATAACTGTTTTTCATGAACAGTCACATCTTGAAAATTTTGGATTGGAGCAAATCCGAACTATCCAACGGGTTTGGACTGGAGCAAATAACGAAATTAATTTTGAGTTAAGAAATTCATGGCCAATTAAATTAAATGAATTTTCTCCAAAAAAGATAGAGTTTGGTCTAAAGCAAACCCACACCTGTACCCGTACCCGAGCCCGGCCTAGTCGGGTCGTGGCGAGGCAGGCGGATGGCGCTCGCGCGTGTGTGTGGTAGACCCAACGGCATATAGGTGCTCGCTCCGCTCATAAAATTGTGGTACCCCTTGGGGCCCAACCCATAGAGCAAACTTGAGTTATATATGCCCATATTGAATTTCTTACTTAGTCAATGTGAGATTGGTGTCAAACCCCACATTGCACATCTTTTATTTTCACTCTTCAAGAGGGTCACTTTGGAGCCTATTTTCTCATTCATTTCTTACTCGATTTGAGTAAGTGAATATTCCACGTTATACTCCTCACGAAGTAGAATATGAACCCACGAAAATTTATTCGAAATAACTAATGAGTTCCACTTTAATTTAGGCTCAAAGTTGACCAAAAACTCTATTTTTTACACTAAAAAATTACTTTTGGTCTAACAATCCCCCACATGAATGAAAAATTGGTTGTTAGTATGCAAATGATAATGTTGCACACTATAGAGAGTACATCTTTGGAAATATCGTGCATTGAGATAAGTAGTTTTTGGCCTTGAACCTTCCCTAGTGAAAGTCCATCAGACTTACCGGCTAAATAGTGAACGTGATGTCATTAACTATTCAGCTGTTTGATAAATCAGATCGAATAGACTTCCCACAGTCTCTTTTCTAACATAATTGGTTCTCATGATTGTGTTCATTTTGGTCCTGAACAACTCTTGATTTTCATAAGTGCTTTAGAGAATTCAGCATTTACAAATTCTCACAGAAGCGACCCCTTCACATTCATATAGGTGACTCCCATTAGGAATATCCTACAATATCCCACTTAGATTTTTCAAGGTATAAGAGTCATTAAAAGCATAGCTTACCCTAATAATCTCTGCAGGCAGCACTAGTTTATCATAG